GGCTTATTTGCAGATAAAAAAAGTAACAGGACTGTGAAATGTATAACTCTGATCTCGTAACTACAACTGAAACAATTCAGATTTTCTACTTCCTGTATTAATGAAAATGAACCTAAAAAATATAGTGATCACTGACATGTCTTAAATAACTTGAGGATTAAAAATTTTTCTCAGTTCACCGTAATTCTTATAATACTGCTGCTCCTATGAAAGAATATAATTTCATCAATTATATAGATACTTCCTATAACACTGATTCACTCTAATCCCCCCAAATCTCGTTCAGAATGAAATGGGGGCCCCCTCAAAGTACATATTAAAGCTAAATATGGCAGTTGGAAATGTTACTGAAAGGACAAGCATTATCTGATAATATCTACAATGAATAACATGACTATAAAATACATTTATAAATTATAAAATCAGGCAATTTTAAATTATCTCCCACAAACTCTTAATTAAAATAATTTAAATACTACCCCTAGATAAAACTGTAGATTTTATACAAACCTGTTACCACCAGCAGCACCCCATTCTAATACTTTTAACCGAGAAAAACTATTAAAATTTATTAAATATCCAAATGTTGAATCTAGCACCTAACAAAAACCTTGTTTTGAAACTAGAAAGAGAATTTGACATTGCATTATGAATAATGTGATGATAACGATGGTATACTAACATGTCTGAACAGTAAGTGTGGTCTCCTAAGCCAATGAAAATAATTTCAACAATTATTTTATTGAAATAATTGGTATTTATAACTTTACAAGTTCAGTTGTAAATTTCCTCATACCTACTGTACATACTTCAAAACATTCTTACTATGGTAAATTTTTATTGATATTTGCTTATTTTGGAAAAACCTGTCATTTTGTGGCCCATTCACAGAACTTAGGTTACAGATACACAACCACTTATGAATTAAAAAAAAAAAGTAAAGGGGAAAAAAGTGTAGAATATTGACAACTTGTAGTATCTGAAATCTTAGAGTTTACCATAAATGACTATAGGAAATGTGGTTATTAAAGGTCCCTTAAAACTTTTTTTCCAAAATTCATTCTATGAACGCTTGAGTTCAAAATAAACTTCAATTTTTAAAAAAGGTCGCCACGGGATTTTAACATTTTCAAATTTTATTTTTAGTACAATTGAGGCAATATAAAGTCACATGGTTCTCTATTAAATCAGAAAGCATATTTTTGCATCACTCCAATACAAAGAGATTGATTAAATGAATGAAACTTATTCATATACAAAGCTAACTTCAAAAACAAAACTTTAACATAAATTCTTCCTGTTTTGAGAAATCTCACATATATTCCTGCAAGGAAACTTGGCATTATACTGTCTCCAACCTAAACTCACGCCCAGTTGGGAAACAAGGGGATAAAAGCAATCAAAGTTAATTCAAAAAGACTGTTCATCTTATTATCAATATTAACTATCTGGGGAAATCTCACTATAGACTAGATTATACAGTACTACGATAGTTTAATTCAAATGATTTCCTGTTCTAGGAAAAGGTGATGGGTGAACTAAGCTCAAGAAAACTTTCAAGGGAATCAAACACTAGGGGGCAGCATCAAACTGCTGGGACAGACAGCATTCTTTAATTTGTGAACTTTAGTAAATTTTCTGAGAACTGCACTTGTAAAGTTGACTTAGCGGGTTATAAGACTTGTTATAAAGGGCTAAAAGCTAGCTTTGTTTTGTCTACACGCTTCCATTTTCTACTGTGTCTTTCTTTTGTATCTCTTGACTTGTAAATAAGTTTAAAATGCCCTAGTGATAATGTCCCAACCCATGTAGGCCCATGAAATAGGAACTGCATAGAAAGGCTGACATTTCTACTTAAAGGATCTGGCTGGGTTAATGCTACATTTTACTTTTGTAAGGTGAATAAGGTGCTTGATAATCAAGCTTGCATTCATTGAATAATGTACCATGAGCTCTACAGAACAAAATGGTATGGAGTATGTCCTCCCCAAGGAATTTAGTCTGCAGGAAAAGTAAGACATACCTATGCTATTGTAACTTGAAAAATTACAAGAGTAGGAAAAAGCTCTACAATTATTACGAATGAGTAACAGAACAATAACACTAGATAACTAATCCCCACAAAGGCTCAGTAGTAGATCATTAAACCTTCATTCTGGGGGGTAATCAATTATGGGGGAGAGGGGAAGGGGAAAAAAGTAGTCCTTCAATCACTAATGAACTGAAACATTAGTATGTAGCAAAGAAGGTAAAATGAATTAAGTATCTGTAGTCCTTTGGTTCCTCATGCCATTTAATGGGCACAGTAAGTCTATGAGGTAGGGTTTTTAAGTAAAGTTCACAGATAAGAGATTAAGGTAAAGCAACTTCTTCAGGTTGAAATGTTCTTAACTTTAACCTTAAACAGTTTGAAACTTAAGTTTCACTCCCAAGTCCCAAATTCTTTCCAATACTGGCAAATACTGGAGGCAAAAGGGGGCAAGGGAAATAGAATGAAGTTAATTTGCCTTAATTAAAAGCAAATGTCACTCCAGGTGTTATATAATGTCCCTTGCTGTAATACCTATATCCTATGTTCTACTTAAATCAGTTAAAAAAAAAAAAATACCCCTAGGATAGTGCTTGCACACTAAACTTGACACCTCTCAAAGTACTTCAAATCAGAAGCTCAAAAAGGTTATGAATAACTGTGTTAGCATCGATGCTGTTAATGGAAAATAAACTGGTAACAGGAAGAATACAGGTTTATCAGGCAATGTATTGTTAATCTCACATCAGAATAGAGATCTTTTTCCTCTAACCACTTCTTTTAAAGCACTACAAAAAGCATTCTTGCACGGGGCTCTTTAATTATACGTGTTTATATAGAGTTCAGAAAGTTTGTAGATTTGACTAGAAAAATAAATACATCCTCACTTTAATTTCTGAAATTTAGTTACTCCTTCAGCATGAAGGCAAAATCAGCCATATGCAGCATCTGGTATTTTTAGAGTTTACCATAAATGACTATAGGAAATGTGGTTATTAAAGGGCCCTTAAAACTTTTTTTTTTTTCCAATATTCATTCTATGAAAGTTGTAGTTCAAAATAAACGTCAATTTTTTAAAAAGGTCACGATGGGATTTTAACATTTTCAAATTTTATTTTGAAATTTTACCAGTAAATTCACTCAAATCCTTTAAAGACCATTTACAGATCTCACTAATTTCAAATTACTTATCAGACCCGCTACTATTCTTGAAATTCAATGCTCTGCTCAAGCATGGGTTATTTTGTCATAGATTTAATATTCTGATAACTGTATTTCAAGATAATTGGTTTGTTGTAATCCTGTTTCATACATTTAAAATCATCATTCTTAGGTTCATACACAAGTTAAAAAAAATTCCCCCGGTAGATCAGTTTTATTTTCTTCATGGCACTTTGATACTATGTATTTCTCCCTCTACTGGAATAATTGAGTGTATGGATGTGGGCTGTCTACACCATGGACCCCCAAGGCCTAGAACAACTGGCTGTATCACCACGTATTCAAAATTTACAGAAGAGGACGTACTAACATAAAAACAAGCACGCAAGTCTTGACCTTCGATTGCATTGCTACATCCAAACATTCTAAGGCTCTCCCACTCTTTCATCACCAGCTTGTCCTCGCGTAGAATTTAGCTATGCATCCAAAAGAAAACACACATGAATGAAAATCTGTGGCACGCCAGTTCTGCTCCATCAAGGACTCAGTTCCAAGGTAAGAGGATTGAACGACCAAAGAGACACCAAAGTTTGAAAGACCGTGGAACCCGCCATCTTTATCTTTTGAATCACGTGCTTTCTCTCTTTATTACTGAAAACAGATTAGTGGGTGCAACACCCTTCCGACGGAGGCTGCGGGTGCTGCTGCTGCGAGCTTTCTTCCTGGCTCCTAGGGCCGGCCCCGCGGACAGGCCCCCCACGTGGGCAGCTCTTTACCGAAGCCACAGGAAGCACCTCCAACGTCACGTCGCGCGCGCCCTCGCCAAGCCCCTTCTCAACTAGGGTTCGGGGAGGAACCCCATTCGGGGAGGGGGGGCGGTGGGGGGCAGGCAGGAAGTTCAGCACATCCCCAGCCCTTGGGGGGCCCCCGCCAGGCTTCCACTACTGCGCCCGGCCGGGCCCGCACGGCCCCGCCAGGAACAAAGCCGGGTCGCCGCGCCACCCCCCGGCCCATCCGGCCTCCCCACGCACCCGGCCCACCCCCACCCCAGCCCTCGGCTCCGGGGACCCCGGCGGGCTCAGGTGCTCGCCCCGCCGCGGCTTTTCAGTCGATCCGGGAGAAAACAAGACCCCACGAGGCCTCCCGCGGCACCGGCGCCGCCGTCCGTTAGCCCCCCCCGAGCCAGCGCCGCGGCGCGGCCCGGATCCCGGCCGGGTCTCCCCGCCAGCCCGGAGGGGAGGCCCGGCGAGGCGCGTCTCCCCCTCCTCAAGCCCCGCAAGTCCTAACTGCGGGTCCTGCCGCCCTCGGGCCACAGGTCTCCCCGCCCCGGCCCCCAGGCAGCCGCGCGCAGCCCCCAACCGCCGCCGCCCGCCCAGCGGTCACTCCCCCACTCCCGCCGCGGCCCGCGCGGCTCCCCAGCCGCGCAGGAGACTCGGGGCCCCCGCGCGGGAAGGAGGCGGCCCCTCCGCCAGCCCGGCTGCAGCCCAGCGCGCACACGAGGAGCCGCGGCGCCCCACGCGCAGCCCACCGCGCGCTCTGCCCCGGCTCGCCGCCGCCGCCTGCAGCAGCTGCGGGAGCCCCAGCGCCCAAATCCCCGAGGGGCTCAGCCCCGACTCCCCGGATCCTGTCGCCCTTTCTACCCCCCTGCCGTCCCGTGACTCGCAGTCTCCGCCGCGCATGGGGCCGGTTCTGGGGGAGGGAATGTAAACAAATCGGGGTTTTATAGTTACCTCACACTCGAGTGCCGTGTGCATCTCCTCTCCGCTCGGTACCAAACCCCGGCTGCACCAAATCGTGTATTCACCAAAGCCCGCTGCGCTAACTGCGTCGCGGAAGCCCGCGCGCCAGTCACCGCTCTACGCCAACAGCGCACAAGGCCCACTCAGGCCCCTGCGCAGCCGCACCCCGTCGGCCTATGGGTGCTACGTTCTGGGCGTACACGCGACACCCAGCCATTCACTTGGAATAACGCAACTTGCGCAGGGGTCCTGCGCCACTCGCGGGCTGCACCGGGGCAGTAGGAGCAATAGGAAATGCGAGTCTACGCAAAGTGCGGAGCTCCGTGGCTCCACGTTAGTTTTGTTCCAAGAAAGGACGCCGCGGGGGAGTTGGGGCGGCTTTTAACGCATGCGTGGAGCATCCTCTCCCACTCACTTTTGCTCTCGGCTGGCCTCGTCGGTTGCTGCGGCCCTGGGGAGGTGGGGGAGTCCCGGAAGGTCTAAACGCAGAGGCTCTCGATTATTCAATTTGAGTGTTTATCTGCACAGGCGCTAAACATCTAACTTAATTTACCTCCCCCCCCCACCCCTTGCCTTTGTTAAAGTAACCTTCACGTCTCTTAGGGTAAGAAGGAGCTAATACTGAGGGCTAAGCACAATGTAATTTTGCATAGTTCTTTCCCCCACCCACCCCCGGTTTACTCTGAAGAACATTTCCTGTGGGCCTCAATGTCTACTAGAAAAAGATGTGTCCTGAGAAGAGGTCACGCACTCAGAGCAATTCTCCGGGCTTTTGGCAGCTTTCTGTGATTTTCCATGACCTCCTGCTTAATCCGCCGATTATTCCTTAACGCTCAAAGGTAAAAACTCCCGATGCAGCCAACTATTTCCAAGGATTCCTGCCTACGTTTTTGCTCACCCTTGCTTTCATTCCTTTGCTCACACCATACCTGACCCACCTGAATGGCCTCACTTTTTAAGCAGTTCACAGACCATATTTTCCTATAAGGTGATTCTGGACACCGTCCCTTTGCTCCATTACTCTGCTTCCTGACACTTATTTAATCCCCATGGTGAGACTTGTCTGCATTCTGTTTGGTGTGTCTATTTCTGTATCTAGCCAAAGTCTACTTAATGGAGTGAGAGCTAGTAGAACCTTATTGATATCTAGCAGAGTGCATAAAATCAAGATCAATAATAATAGCAAGCTTTACTGTGTATCAGATACTTCGTAAGTGGGATTTTATTATTTTACATAAACATTCATTCCATACCCTTACCAAAATGAAATAGGTATTGCTATTCTACCTCAGGAAACTGGGGAACTGAGGCAAAATAAGTAACTTACCTAAGATGAAAGAACATATAGGGAGGAGAGTTGGGATCCAAACACATTAGTATTGCTACATATTCCTTCTATTATGCACATTTACTTTCATGAAGGAATCTTGTTTTGTTTTTAATCTCGACAGAGAACGTATTTTAGATGCTTAATAAAGAAATAATGCTTTAGGAGCCTATTGACTGCCAGGACATTAAACTTCTCATATTTTTTCTATTTGGAAAACCAAATCTGTTGGCCTCGCTCTTGCTGGGCGTTTCACAGCTACCATAAGGTAGAGAATAGAGCTCAAGCCTGACTCCTCGCCTCAAGTCTCACTTTGTCACTGTGGGTGACAGTAGCCATGGTCCTCAGATTCGTGGATAAACTAGAAAATTTGTTCGAAATTTTTCAAAAGTCCTTAGATGTCATATAATCAACTTAAAACATCCTTTCGATACAAAGCAAAAAAAAAAAATTACCTGGATATTTTAAGGTCATAATCACTGAACACATTTTCAGCAGCTTTAAAGTATAGGCAGTATCTTTCTTCTAAATATCAGTAAGATATACCACTTATATTCCTAAGATTTTGGAACATTTCATTCCACTTTTTAGTTTTGTATTTAAACAAATTAATGTTCAACTGATACATACAGATGCAGTTGAAACAACTGATCAAATATTAAAATCCTTCCATATAAATTGGTCAATAGCTGCAATTTCTGAGTAGAATTTCCCTATGACCTCCAGCCCTGTCCCACACCTTTCTCTCAAGGTTTCCCAGACCTATCTCATTTCAGGAACTAATGAGTTAATACCTGGCTAAAAAGAAAATCTATAGAACCCAAGTCTTATCAAATTCTCTCATTCTTATTGGTGAGTGCCCATGCTTTACTAATTTATACATGTTCTAAATATATCATCCCTGCATAAAACTATAGGGTAAGTCACTTGAAAATAGATCAAGTCTCCTACCACTTTAATACATTCACCCAAACATTCATATATGATTGAGTATGTGCATAATGATTAGGACAGGACTGAAAGTAAATTACTATGTAGCGTAAATGATTGAGCTACAAACTAGTAAATATATTACTTATTGGGAGAAGGAATCTCAGAAAATGACATGGGTTTAACTTAAAATCATCTGCTGAGTTAAATAATGAAGGGTGCAGCAAAAATATCACTATATTTTATTTTACCATTATATATAAGGAATGAATTAGGATAGGGAATTTCTAACATATTAGAATTATAGAACTTTCTGAAAAGGACAAATACTTTTTTCTAGCCACCTAATCAGATTCATAAAGAAGCTCAACTGAACTATAAAAACAGTATAGATGATTTGCAATACCTGGGGGACTAAAAGAATATTGAGTTATGTGAATGGTTTGCCTTTCATTCATTTTGCTTTTACAGATGATTTCAGACACAGTTTTATTTAACATAATCTAAAAATTTTAAACATGACCAAACTACCTTTATGAGGCATGATAAAATAAATCTAATGATCATTTTTTAACCCCTCAGAGGATTAGAAAAGAACTAACTATAATAAAAGAGAGAAAATAAGAACCCTACTTTATATCTCAGTCTTTAGTTGTGAGTAAAGGAGGTCTATGTCATAAACTTGGTTTTCTCCTGTAGCAGAAGAGAATACAATCATTATCCACAACAAAGTTAAGAAATTTAATTGAAACTAGAACAAACATGACTTATTTTAAGAAATCAGACCTTTGAAACTTAATTGTTCATTACTAAATAAAGGTAATAACCAAAGATAAAGAAAACTTACTTTCACATTCACTTTATCTCTTGGTTTTTATCTGACCATAAAAGTTTGGCTCAGACAAGGTCATGCCTAGAGGCAGGAATGCAAGAAAAACTAAACTGTATTGTGATATAGCCCTAAATAGGGGGTACCAAATAAATACAAATAGGTATCACAGAACTGGGAAATGAAGACCTCAAAATGTGTTGTACACCTAGGCCGCAAAATCAATAACTCTCCATTTACTTTTAGAGATTCAATTCAGCCTGGGGTTTGAAAGCCCAGTTCTAAACCTGAAGCCAGAGGAATAAAAAAGGTAAGTCCTATTTCTATTCTTTCAGGCCAGTGGCATGGGGTGCATCTAACATGTTTAAAAACAAACAAAAAACCATGGTCCAAAATGGATATCAGGCCTGTGGAGCAGCCTTTTTCTGATCTCTTGAGAAATTTTGGCTCTACCTTCTCCTATAAAGATTTGTCATTCCTAAACGTAGGTAAATAGGCTTTGAGGGCTTGCGTTGACATTCTCATTAGAGAAGGTCCACAGCCCTTGCCTCTCTTTCTTTCTTTTTATTTTTTTATTTTATATAATTCTTACATCATTTTTCCCTCCTTGCCTCTCCTTCTAAAGAGAGCAAGACACCTATGTCTGAGAAGGCCTTCATTTTCTACAGAGCCCACCTTATTGAGGAGGGTGCCCTGAGAGATGAACCAAACCTACTCTGGTGAGACAAATTTGACTGATACATCAGTCAAGAGAGGTCATTCTTAGTTGCTAGGCTTGTGAAATAAAATAAGATTCAGGCTATGTGCAGAAACAAAAATAGATTAGAGAAATGAAACAATTACAACAACAAATTCAAGCAACTTCCCACCCTTGAGCAAAAAATTAACTTCTATATGATTTGCCTGATGATACTAAAATAAGACGAGCCAGGTCCTTTAACTTCAGTTCATCACAATACAAACAAAATGGCTTTCGCATTAGAGATCCTTATTGAAAGAAAGATAATTATGGAGAGAATTAAAGCCTTAGATTCACCTTGGCAAGACCTTTTGAAAATAAGAATGAGAACTTGCCTAAGAGAAAAAAGAAAAACAGACTAGAACTAGAACCAGGACAAGCAGCATACCATATGATCATGCCAGGAAAGATTCTTAAATCCACTCTATTGTGCTCATGTCTCCCTAGAATTCCACATTTAAACTTCATGCCTGGGCCTTGAAACCAAGAGGACTTTGACCCTGAGGATAGTTATAGTTACTACCATTTTGTTATTTATACTGCTTTAAGAGTATATTTTTTCAGGTCTCTTCCGAAGCAGTTTTAAGAGGGGAGAAAACATGATTTTCTGGATTCCTAAGAATAGTGTAGATGAAGGAAACCTAGACAAATTGCCAACTTCTCAATCGTGTGTCTAGCCAACCTATGCACTCACAGAATACTAAACTGAAAAAACAAACAGTAGTCTTGGCAAGCAGACACTTGATGCCAACAGGCAGCCATTTTGGGTCTTTTGAAACTCTACAGGCACAGCAAAAATCAACTTTCCAAACTTAACTCCTAGCCTAAGGAATTTTAACAAGGAACAAATGTCCACATGAATATGCAGACTTGAAGGGTATTTGTAGAAGGATGGTTATACTTCAATTTCAGGAAAATTATCAACATGAAAATGAATTAGTAACAAGTTACTGTAGGGTAAAGAAAATGTCAGGCTTTTCTGCCCTTCCGCCATCAGGATAGATGATGGATCCTTGTCCTGAATGCATGCCTGATGGCGGGCACCTGGAATAGGGTGTGGGCATAGGTAGATGGGATTCAGCTGAGCTAAGACTGTGCTTTTAAGGGCGGCGTCACGGGGGGACGCCAGCAGCCCCAGCCAGCAGCAGCAGAACCTGAAGGAGAAGCCGAAGCAGAAGCAGAGAACGCCAGAGAGCCCAGATAGAGTGAAGACTTGCTGGGGGCTGGGAGGCCTGCCAGCCTCCCAGTCCCCCAGCCAGCACCCCTGCCTGCCATATGCCTGGTGAACCCCAAATAAAAAACCTGCAAAACTACTGAGGACTCTGACTCCTCCTTTACCCGGTCTGCATGGGATCAGAAAACCTGCCTTGTGCCCTGTCCTGCCCTTACAATTGGCGTAGTCGGCAGGATCCATGCAGACGGGTATTGGAGCCCTCCGAAGACCTGGAGGGACTAAGGAGAACAGACTTTGCCTGTGACGACGCTGGAGGCACCATGGCGGTATAGAAGATGGATACGTCCACGAGCTACAGGATGAGACCTGGCGTGAAGGAGACGCCCGAAAGGACAAGCCAACGACACCAGAAAGGACCAGCCAACGACACCGGATAGGACCAGCCAACGACACCGGAAAGGACCAGCCAATGACCCCTGAGGCAGCAGGCCGCTGCTGACGCAGGGAGAGGCCAATGGACATGGACTGATAAACTTGGACTGACAATGCCGCCAGAAGGCGGAGGACCTTGCAGGTTGATATGTTTTGGGACCCTGGGGGTGGAACAGTTTTGTTTGTAAACCCCAAGAGATGGGAATCTGGGGGTGGCCAGTGGGCCTAGATGGCCAAAAGCAGCCTGTGTATGCCCAGTGGCCAGGTGGAGGAGAAAAGCCAACTAAGGTGGCAAAAGCTGGTACTGATGCTAAGTTGAGAAGCCCTAAAGCGGCTGTTAAGCAGCCTGGGTATGCTGAAGCCCTGTGAGTCTCGTAAAATCACCTATGGGTGATGCCCTGCTCATTCTTGAGTGAGGGTGAGGAGCTGAGGAGCCCGTCCTTGGGGGACGGGTGGGGAATGTGGCTTGGGGTGGAGCCCAAGCCAAATGCAAAGTTTGGATCCCCAACCCATGTGCTTGTGCAGTGGGTTGGCTTGAGAGCAGGGGTCTGTGAGTCGCATGGGTGGCCATGAAGGCCGAGTGTTGGAGCGACTGCAGACAGAAACCCTGAGGGTTGGTGATTACCCCCAACAGAATAAAATTGCCAATCCCAGAGCTAGTGCATCCTGGGGGTGGATGCTGTGTGTGCCTTGTAGCCTAGACTACAGCCAGAGAAGGCCAGGAAGCCTGACGGCTCCTGGTATGTTATAGTAGATGCCGTGAGTGATTCCCCTCCCTCGTATGAGCAGTGCCTTCGGCAGCAGATTTGGTGGCTCATCTGCTGGTACCAATAATTGTCTTTTGCACTTGGTTGGTGCCCTGCCTGGACTTATTTGTGTTCTGTTGTATTTTGTTATATTGTATTTTGTTATATTTGATGTATTTGCTTTTGTGGGCCATGGCTGCATTGTTTGTTTGCTTAGAAAATTGTATATATATGTATAGACTGTATGGCAGAAAACCCTGAGGGGGTGGACTGTAGGGTAAAGAAAATGTCAGGCTTTTCTGCCCTTCCGCCATCAGGATAGATGATGGATCCTTGTCCTGAATGCATGCCTGATGGCGGGCACCTGGAATAGGGTGTGGGCATAGGTAGATGGGATTCAGCTGAGCTAAGACTGTGCTTTTAAGGGCGGCGTCACGGGGGGACGCCAGCAGCCCCAGCCAGCAGCAGCAGAACCTGAAGGAGAAGCCGAAGCAGAAGCAGAGAACGCCAGAGAGCCCAGATAGAGTGAAGACTTGCTGGGGGCTGGGAGGCCTGCCAGCCTCCCAGTCCCCCAGCCAGCACCCCTGCCTGCCATATGCCTGGTGAACCCCAAATAAAAAACCTGCAAAACTACTGAGGACTCTGACTCCTCCTTTACCCGGTCTGCATGGGATCAGAAAACCTGCCTTGTGCCCTGTCCTGCCCTTACAGTTACCATGTAAATATTTTTAAACACCAGGTTCCTTTGTTTAACTTGTTACAATTCATGAACTCTGTTTAAAAATTCACTTTAAAATGTCATCAACATGAAACCCAATTTCAAATCTTGCCTCAGGCTTCCAAGATAATTCTCAAGGAGACCCATTTGACAGCTGACATCTATGAACATAATCAAGTACATCTTTTAAAATCAAGACACACTTGGTTTATCTTAACAAATATTCCTTACCTTTATTTATTGAAAATTTGACAGCAAGGATGTGGCAAAATTCTAAATAGTAGGGGAGGCAATGAATGAATTGTCAAAACAAAAATAACTTGTAGGGATTTCTGAATTTTTCCTAAAATGTTTCTAAGAAAATCTCAAAACTTACTTCTATTGGAAAAAGGAACTTTTGGATTCTTCATAAAATCCCATAAACTACCTCTTCTTTTAAGTGCAGATCTTTACAAAACTTTCAGAAACTTCCTAGCGTTTTTTGTGAGGAACAATGCCTAGTAGTCAGCAACTACTCAGGTTGGCTTGCTTTCTTGTTGATGATCTCACCTACAGCCTCCAAAGATTTCCTCACACTCAGTTTCATTCCAATTACAATGACAGTTGCTTTCTCTGTTGCAGTTATGTTTCTGTCTTCCTTCCCACCTAAACATATATATGAGGTGTATGATTTAAAATGTCCCAGGAACCATTTTAAATGTTTTAAATGTTACAAATCATTTTATCCCTACGAGGTGGATATCATTATGCTCATTTCACTGATGAAGAAAACTAAGATGTTTACACAGCATATGACAGAGGCAAGACTCCAGAAGCTATGTTCTTAACTTTTACATTACCGTGCCTCTTATGTTAAAACTATATGTAGGTCTCAATTTTTGTGGGAATGGCTATATTACTGTCTCTGCAAAAGTTATTAATTAAAAAAAATTAGTAGAACCATAAACTGGTGACTGTCATCTGTAAATGTTGCAGGTCAATGGAAAATTTAAATAGAATAAAGAATAGAATAACAACATATCAAGATACTTATATTGTGAACATTTGTTACTTTTTGCTTTAACTTTCAGCTTGACTAACAAATCATTTCCAAGGGAGATGTTTATTCCACAGCCTCTTAAATTAGAAAGTTAATTAGTCAATCTGGTTATGTAGCTTTTAGTTGAAAGTTTTCCCCTTTTCATAGTGATTTGATGTAATTGTTTGAATATTTATTTATACCAGTAAAGTTATATTAAAAATTAGGCAGAATTAGGTGTGTTAATGAGTTCCATCATAGTCATGTAGATATGAGCAACTAATGTGCTAATCAATGAAGAATTGGTCAAGTGCAGGCAAATATATTCCAACAGACTTTAAAGGAACTTCATTTAAGGGGTTAAAGGTGTATTTCAGCTCTCAGATTTATGAGTTTACTTCCCCTGCAAGTCCACCTTGGAAGAAGAAACAAAGTATTAAGGAATGGATATAGCTTCAAGCAAAAGTTTGATTCTTTTATGTACATGTCATGATGTTAATGTGTGAAAATTAGGGCAAACAAAATATGGCTTTAGCCCTTGAATCCAGAAAGAGGTGGCTTACAGTCCAGTTGGGGAGATAATTAAAGAGGCAATTACAGTACAGGCTGATAAGTACTATGTTAGAGATAGGTATGGGCTGCAACGGTAGTTAGCAAAGGCCAAAAAAGACTTTGAAAAGGAAGTGACATTCAAGGACTGATTTGAAGGACTAGAAGAAAGACCAGTAAAAAGCAGGGGCAGAAGGGCCTACCTGGCATCACAAGGGCTTAAGTCTCAGCACTTTGAAGCTATCAGCAGTCACTGCAGCACAGTTTGATCCCACGCCAGGGAGCTACCCACATGGCGCAGCAGACCTCTCATGTCTTGCTCACCGCTCCCCTCAGCTGTGTATTTCAGTCAATCCGTCTATTCTGTTCCCTACTCTGTCTCTGGTGAATCCTCTCACCCCCCGCACCTCTAGCCTGTACCCCAGTTCTTATATGCATAAATAAATAAATCTTAAAAAAAAAAAAAAAAAAAGCTGGGACATAATAGCCCAGGCAGAGGAGTGAAATGAATGAAGGTGTGGTTCTCACTTTGATGAAATGAAACGCAAAATGGTATACATTTTGGCATGGGTTAGGAGACATGAGACTGAACCAATAAACAGCCTTTTTGTATCATATAAAAGACTCTGAATGCTATTCTGAATGCTGAAGGACTTTAAGCAAGCAAAGATCATAGGCAAGAAGGGAAATGGATAATATGATTAGTTTGGTAGGTAGAATAATGTTTCCCCAAAATATCTATGTTCTAAACCCTGGAACTAGTGAATGTTAGTTTACATGACAAAGGGGAATTGGGATTGGGGATGGTATAGATTGCTAATTAACTGATCTTGAGTCAGGGAGATGATCCTGAATTAACAGTGGGTTCATCTTTAATTTTTTTAGATTGATATTACATGGGTTTACAACTTTGTGTTTTAGAGGTATAGAATCCCACCTCACCCACTTTGGTTCACCACCATAAAGTGTTGTGTTCTCATCAGGGTTCATCTTAATTTCAAGGGTTCCTAAGAATGTAAGACTATAGATGAGGGGAGTGCCGGGGGATGTGACTATGGAAAAATGGTCAGAGGGATGCAGAAAGTAAGTTATAAACTGAGGAATGTGGGTGGCCTCTAGAAGCTGAAAAAGACAAGGAAATGGGTCATTCCTAGAGCCTCCAGAGGAGTGCAGCCCTTGCAGACACTTTAGGTTAGCCCTGAGACAGGTGTGTCAGACCTCCAATGTACAGAACTATAAGGCAATAAATTTATATTGTTTTTAAATTGCCAAGTTTGAGGTAATGTGTTGTAGGAGCCCTGGAAAACTATACAATAAGAAGCTGTTGGGCCTCCCTAGTGGCACAGGGGTTAA